TTTGAATAAAGCAGGGTTTTCCCAAATGTGGTGTCATTCTAGCCAGGTTAAATCCGAGACACTGGGAGTGGGCCCAGGAATCTGCATTGTAGCAGGAATCTGAGTGATTCTCAATGTTTACTAAAGTTTGAGAACCTTGAATTAGAAGATCTCTAAGTCCCTTCAGATTGCTGGCATTGATAGCCTGGCACATCACTGCTCTAAAGATCATCTCACATTTAAAGTAAAGCGCAGATACCTGTTTCTGCTTTCTCATTTGAGAGATCGAGGAGGGCCAGTGTTTTGAATTTGACATACATGTATGCAAGAACGTAAGAATTGCGAGGACTTGATAAAAAATACATTTTATACATATTCTAAAGAGCTGTTTCTAGGTGTGAATTGTGGGGAAGTCAGTTGACTGTCTTATATCTGTTTAAACAAGTGAACCATATTGCTTGTCATTTGTTTGCGTTCAGTTTCATTACACATTTTTTGGTTCTTTTCCTTTCATGTTTCTCTGATTTGGCAGGAGTTATTGGTGATTGGCCAAAGGAAACAGTAACTTCTTGGAAGGTTTGTTGTAACAGTACTACAAAGTCGTACCACTTAATTTATAGCCACTTGAGAGCTCAGATGTTCATTAGTCTTAAGTCATTATGAACTAGTTTTGTAGTACTGTAATTAGAACTTGTGTAAAACATTCTATATACTTTTGATCCATTCTCCTTTACAGAAACTCTGTATTTGACATTCTGTTCATTGCAGAGGGATTTAGTATTAACAGAAAACTAAACAAACAAGATTGGTAATTTCTTTTTGCACAGTAGCTAGACTGGGGCTTAAGTCTATTTTAAATTTAAATTATGTCATTTTAATGATGTATCTATTTCCATTTGTGTGTTTTTTTAAAAACCAACTTGGTTTTTTGTTTTGGAAAAAAAGAGCTAGCTTCTTTGTCCCGTCTTCCTCCTTTCCCCATTTGCTTTCCTTTACACACATTGTAGGTCCAAAGACTTAACCAAAATTTTGAATACAGAATTTCAGAAAATTGTGTAATATACCATTTTTTATGCTGTAAGATAGGCTTCACAATATTTGTGTATCATCTACAAAAATTAGGTTTCTAAGCTTGCTAAAATTCGATTCTGTTTATACAGAAAAGTGGGATTGTGGCATTTCCCCCCTTAAGTCCTTTTAATTGTTGGAATAAAGATCAAGGCTCAGAAGCTTCATCTCTTATATTTTCATGCTTTGACTATTAGCTGTGTGGTAAATTTAGCATCGATTTGGACTTAAAGTTCGTAGCTCTGTCTTCTGTGTTGTTCAGGTCATCCCAGCTACTCTCAGTTCACCCTTTGTTTGCCTTAGGACCTTTAAATCATGGGTTAGAAGAACATTTATAATTCATATAAGGCAAGTAATACTTTTTCACTGTTCACTTACTTTTAAGTTATAAATTATATGCAGACGTTCTTTGGCCTTGGTCACTAATGCTACCCTACATTCATTTTGTAAAGTCTTCTTAGAATCCTAAACCCTAAGCTAACACAATAGTTTTTTGTTACATAAGTTTTTGATTTCTCTGACTCAGAACCACGTGGATGCACGTATTAGTTAATATAGCATTCTTTCCTAGGCCTGCATTGCCTCTCTTCTGCACACTTTTCTTGGATATTCTTGTGTACTCTCCTGGTATTAAACAACATCTGTATATACTGATAATTTCCAAATTGATATCTCTGGATTTCTCTCCTGAGCTCAAGACTCATATATTAGTTACCCACAGACATCTCTACATGAATGTCCCATAGGCACCTCCAATTCAATATATTACAAAACAAACTCATTATCTTTATCTCCAAACTTACTCCCTGATACCATGTATATATCATTTTGCGTTTCATAGTAAGAAAGTATAGTATGATTTGATATCTTGAAACATAAAATATAATGGAGTTAAATTTGGAAGTACTTGTTAGCTTTGCTTTCAAATAACCATTGCTTTACTAAGTAGAAATGAGTGATATATATGTGCTATATTAATAAAAGTGTAAAGAACACAGTTAAACAAAACAGCAAAGAGGAGGCAAAGGGCTGGCCTGGACACCTTTTTTATAAATGAGGATTGATAAGTATTTGTAGCTAGAAACAATAAAACTGTGAAAAAATTTCTTTTTTAAAAAATTCGACTTTTTAAAAAATTTTTAAAAATTTTTATTGAGGTATAATTTATGTACAATATTATATAAGTTTCAGATGTATGACATAGTGATTCACAATTTTTAAAGGTTACATTTCATTTGTAGTTATTGTAAAATATTGGCTATATTCCCTGTGTTGTATAGTATATTGTTGTAGCTTATTTATTTTATTTATTTATTTTTTTCGGTACGCGGGCCCCTAACTGTTGTGGCCTCTCCCGTTGCGGAGCACAGGCTCCGGACGCGCAGCCTCAGCGGCCATGGCTCACGGGCCCAGCCGCTCCGCGGCACGTGGGATCTTCCCGGACCGGGGCACGGACCCGTGTCCCCTGCATCGGCAGGCGGACTCTCAACCACTGCACCACCAGGGAAGCCCTAGCTTATTTATTTTACACCTAGTAATTAGTATCTCATCCCCTAACCCTATCTTGTCCCTCCCCGCTTCCTTCTCCCCACTGGTAACCATTAGTTCTCTATGTCTGTGAGTCTGCTTCTTTTTTGTTATATTCACTAGTTTGTTGTCCTTTTTAGATTCCACATGTAAGTGATATCACACAGTATTTGTCTTTCTCTGTCTGACTTATTTCACTTAGCATAATACCCTCCACCTCTATCCATGTTACTGCAAATGGTGAAATTTCATTTTTTTTATGGCTGAGTAGTATTCCATTGTATGTATTGATATGTATGTATACACACACACACACACTCTTTACATCTTCTTTATCCATTTATCTGTTGATGGACAGTGAGGTTGATTCTGTATCTCGGCAATTGTAAATAATGCTGCTGTGAATATTGGGGTGCATGTATCATTTTGAATTAGTGTTTTGGGGGTTTTTTTGGATATGTATATCCAGGAGTGGAATTATTGGGTCAAGTGGTAGTTCTATTTTTAGTTCTTTGAGAAACCGTCTATAGTGGCTGTACCAATTTACATTCCCACCAGCGTGTATGAGGATTCCTTTCTCTCCACCTCCTTGCCAACACTTGTTATGTGTCCTGTTTCTGGTGATAGCCATTCTGAGTGAAGAAATTTCCTGAATGGACTGTGTAAAACGTTTTAAGACATTTAGAAGTAAAGTAGATTAAAACTACAGATAAAAGTTCTGTTGTTTAAAAAGTATTGCTAATTTAAAAGATAATAGTAATAATAGTTTTATATTAAAATATAACACAAATCCTTACAGACAGTAAAATCCTTTTTGATGGATCATAAAAGAAATTGAATATAATGTAAATCAGGTTGGAAGTGCTCTTGGAAATACTTGTTTTAAAATCCTTATTTTAAAACTAATTTAATTTAAATTGATTTGGAGATACATTGGTTTTAAACAAATTTTCTTTGGTGAATTGATTTTGGGTATGTTAGTCTGTAACCGTATAAATATACTCTATTTCATCAAATCTAAAGGCATACTATAATATTATATACTAAGAAAAAAATGCTTATAATTGATGACACAGTGTGTTCTTACACTTAGAATTTTTAATTTTTATTTAAAGAACTCTTTTATACTTCTTGATATTTAGATAATAGATTTTTAAAAACCATTTATTACTATTGTGCATATATATAAAGGAAAATGTAAATGAAATGTATTAGTGAATATATTCCTAAAAGTTATTTATATCACCATAATTATAAAACATATTCTAATTTCAGAGAAGTTAAAATACAAAATGTGTGTCCTAGATTCAATGAGACAGTATACCTGGAGTGTAGAGGGGACGTGGGGACAGTGCTATAGGCTTGGGCATCATCAGTGTATGACGTGGGTGTGAAGGAGGTCACCCAGGGAGAGGGAAGGTGAGACCGAAGAGACCTAAGAGAAGGGCTTTGAGAAGCATTAACTTTTTAATGGAGTGAGCCAAGTTCCCAGGAGAGAATTTGAAGAGGAGGGACTCAGAAGGTAGAAGAGAACCCTGAGAGTGCTGTGTGTAGAAAGCAAGAGACTGAAGGGGTTTCAGTGAGGTAGGGTGGTTCCTAGTGTCAGAAATGCCAAACAGGAAGGAAGATGTGTGTTCATCTCAAAGCTTGGGAATTAAGTTAATAGAACCTTTTACAGTTACGTGAAGGGAAAGCGTGATGTTTACTTCCTTTGCATTAATTTTGAATGACTTTATGTGCCAGTATAATAAACTAGGCAAATTATACTAAATTAGGCTACACGTCTTCAGTTTTCTTAATGTTAAATTTAAAATGTTATTGTTCACCTGCTTGTGGCAAAGAAGAAACCAAGGAATAGAATAAATTAAGGTAAACATTTTTGCTTATCTGTCTTTCAGTGTTTTATGAGAATAATCTTAAGGTGCCTTAAGTGGTCTTTCCTCAATCTACTTGATTTTACGAATGAGAAAAGTAACCCAGAAAACTTAACTGATTTGCTCTAAGTTGATACTTCAGTTCATGGCAAAGGCAGGAATTGGATGTGTTCTCTAAATCAGGTTTCTGTCAGATCTGCCATACTGTTTCTCCCTTCTTAAGTTTAAGGTGATGACTTGTGAAGATTTGACTAGCTGGATGACTGCACTTTGTAGTAGAGAGGTAAGCAGATGGTTTTAAGTTAGTAATGGAGAATATTAGAGAATATAGCAAGTATTATGTAACAGGGAAAATGGGTAAAACCTTTGTAAAGATTTAGAGAGAAATGTTTTGTGTGTGTGTGTGTGTTCTCTTAATTTTCAGCATATGATATGATTATTTCCTTCAATAACAGTCTGAAAATATAAATACATGTGAATATCAGTCATTGAAATATTGAGAATAACTTTATATTTTAGAGTAACATAATGTTCTGCTTATTTTTTTAATAGAAAAAATGAATGCACCAAACCAACCTCCACATAAAGACACTGGAAAAACTGTGGAGAATGTGGAAGAATACAGCTATAAGCAGGAGAAAAAGGTCCGAGCAGCTCTTAGAACGACGGAGCCGGATCATAAGAAGAACGTGCAGTGCTCGTTCATGTTGGACCCAGTGGGTGGGTCTTTGCCCAAAAAATCAATTCCAGATGTGGATCTCAATAAGCCTTACCTCAGTCTTGGCTGCAGCAATGCTAAGCTTCCGGTGTCTGTGCCCATGCCGATAGCCAGAACTGCACGCCAGACTTCTAGGACTGACTGTCCAGCAGATCGCTTAAAATTTTTTGAAACTCTACGACTTCTACTAAAGCTTACCTCAGTCTCAAAGAAGAAGGACAGGGAGCAAAGAGGACAGGAAAATACGTCTGCTTTCTGGTTTAACCGATCTAATGAACTGATCTGGTTAGAGCTACAAGCCTGGCATGCAGGACGGACCATTAACGACCAGGACCTCTTTTTATATACAGCCCGTCAAGCCATCCCAGATATTATCAATGAAATCCTTACTTTCAAAGTTAATTACGGGAGCTTTGCCTTTGTTAGAAATGGAGCTAGTTTTAATGGTACTTTGGTAGAAGGGCAGTGCAGAGCCCCTCATGGGACAAAGGTTGCAGGTTACCCAACATATCATGAGCACCTCCAACGCCAGAGGGTGTCATTTGAGCAGGTCAAACGGATAATGGAGCTGCTGGAGTACATAGAGGCACTTTATCCATCGTTGCAGGCTCTTCAAAAGGACTATGAAAAATACGCTGCAAAAGACTTCCAGGACAGGGTGCAGGCACTCTGTTTGTGGTTAAACATCACGAAAGACTTAAATCAGAAATTAAGGATTATGGGCACTGTTTTGGGCATCAAGAATTTATCTGACATTGGCTGGCCAGTGTTTGAAATCCCTTCCCCACGACCATCCAAAGGCAATGAGCCCGAAGATGGGGGTGAGGACACAGAAGGAGAGTTGAAAGAGTTGGAAAGCAGTACAGACGAGAGTGAAGGAGAACAAATCTCTGATCCAAGGGTACCAGAAACCAGGCAGCCCACTGACAGCAGTTTCAACATCCAGTCACCGGATTGCGTAACTAAGAAGCTCGAGAGGCTTGAATCTGAGGACGATTCTGTTGGCTGGGGAACACCAGACTGCAGCACAGAAACAGGCTTTAGTAGACATTGTCTGACTTCTATTTATAGACCGTTTGTAGACAAAGCACTGAAGCAGATGGGGTTAAGAAAGTTAATTTTAAGACTTCACAAGCTGATGGATGGTTCCTTGCAAAGGGCACGTATAGCACTGGTAAAGAGTGACCGTCCAGTGGAGGTAGGTTTCCGGTAGGCAATAGTATGATCTTGTCCTTGGTTCCACTATTACTTGTAAATTACAATGTATGTTGTGTTATATGTAACATGTACTTTCATGGTCTCGATTTTTTTTAATTGAAGTATAGCGGATTTACAAAGTTGTGTTCATCATCTTGATATTTTTAAGGCATAAATGGTAATTATAAATTGAGGATTTAAACGTTTCTATAAAGCACTGTGATAAAAGGGAAAGTGGATCTGTGAAAACTGTATGAAACTGAGTGAATTAAATGTGTGGAGGGAAAAAAATCCAACGATTAAATATAGGATGGAGAAGGACAGGCTCGGTATAAATAAAGAGGGAAGAAAGCCATAATCATGGGTGACCACAAGCTGAATATGAGTCAGTAAAAAGTCAGCATGATGCTAAAATATTTTTAAATGAGTATGGCATCCAAGGTCATGGATATAGTTCTTTCTCTATTCTTTGCAATAGCTTACTTCCTTTTGAGTTGCATGTCCAGTTTTGGTCACTGGATTTTAAAGAGAGAAGAATTACAGAGAAGGCCAAGAATGATCAAAGGGGAAAAGTATACACTATTTGGTAAGGTTACAGTGTTTAGTGTAGTTGCTGGAAGTTTAAGGGAAGTATTATTATCAAAGACACGTTTCGACATGAGAAGATTTTTGTGAGAGGAATATGTCTAGTAGAGGAGTTGATTTGAAAATAGTATGGACTTGGTTTTAATAGCTTTATATCTCAGGAATTCTTTACCATTAAGGGTGGTGAAACTAGAAAGGGGCATATTGTTGGATATTCTTCTTGAGAGTGAAAGAGTGTAAGCAATTTTTCTGTTGCGGTGAGTTTGCATGTTCATCTGGCTAAAAGCAAAAGCACCCAGATCTTTGAGATCCCTAATTACCTGAGTAGGGCTGTGATTCTAAATTTTAATAGCTAAATACATACATATGTATATACTTTTTTTTTTTTTAAACTTGGGTTTATTACACAGTCTGGCTTGCTGTGGAGTCAGATGGTAAAACTGAAGGTATTCCTTAAGATGGGAAACATCGGAAGAGAACCCGAATTTGCAGTATTTGAAGTTTTAATCTGACGGCCAGATTATGAACCCTTAGGAGAAGGGGTCAGGTGTTCACATAATATAGCAGGATGTTTGCAGAATGAATCAATACTTTGTAGCTGTTAAGAGGTTAGTTTACTTTGAGTATTATTTTGATTAGAAATCTCAAAAATGAATTTTCTTTGAGCAGTGCTTTGACTCTGTGAATGATTTTTTATGTACACCTTTTATTCGGGCAAGTGATGTTTTCCCCCTTAGTCCATGAATAACTATTTTATAAGAAGAATTTGTTATAGTGCAAGTTTCAAAGTCGGTAGAGCAGAACTAGATATGTAGTAAAGATTTGGCATATGCTTCAGACGTCGAATAGCATACTTTAGTTTAGGTTTTTGGCTGGAGAGTGGTTAGGTTCTAACAAGGACACGTATGGACAGGACAGGGTTGATTAATTGTTGTTATGAAGGACTGTTTTTGAAGTAATATCAGTGAAAAAGTCCTGGCATTATTACCTCATCTTTGATTCACTGGTTCTCCTAGGAGAGAGGGGCTCATGGTGAGGGCTCAGGGAGACGCGTCAGGGCTTCTTAAAACTGCGTTATGCTCGCTCTCCCAGACTGTCTTCCTCTCCCCTGAGGACCCTCTGTGGCAGTGAACCACTGCTGCTGAGCTTTGCATCCGTTAGATGTGTTGGAACAAGAAAGAGATTGAGAATGAGCGCGCTGCATTTTCTATTAGAACCCTTGCTGAAAAAAGATAATGAGGTAGCCCCTAGCTTTGAATTCCTATCAAAGTTGTACGCCTTTGGTTTGACCAGTTGAGATTTAACTGAATGAGAAAGTTATCCTTGTTATAGAAGAAAAGAAATACATACACATTCAAAGTGTGTGAATTAAACATGTTTATTAGAATTATTTGAGATGGTTTACTTTTCAAAAAAAATGCAGTATAGAAGCCCCTCTTGTTTTAAATTTTGGTTTATAAAATGTTGTGTTTGCAAAATAATGAAAGAGTAACCAAGAACAAAAATCCTTCTGTATTGGAGATTAATCCAAACTAATAAAAGATAAGCCTCCAAAATTATAATTAACTCAATGGGAAAGTAAGACTTTATTCCTATTTCAGGGACATAATTTCTATAAGGCGAAGTGTATGTATACAAATGTAAATGAATATATGTACACTCCCCTTCTGGGTTTGTTTTGTTTTAGTCTCTTTACTATCTATGTCTGGGAAAGAGCCACAATTTTGAAGTCAAATAACTGGATTCCATTCCTTGATGCTGCTCTTTCTCACCACATATCTTAATGTCAACGACTTAATCTTTCTGACTGTAAGTCTTCACATCTGTAAAATGGGTATAACAATACTTCCCTACCTACCTCACAGGGTTGTTGTGAGGCTTGAAAAGACACTTGTATAAATAGTAAAATGCTATAGAAGTCAAATATAAACTATTTTTTTTAAGAAGTGTTGTTAACACTTTTTGTTCCTCCCTTGAATCTAACTGTAAGTCAGTAGGAGCTAGACAAGTCTATATTTTTATTTTTTAAATGTATTTTACTTTTTAATCTCTGCCAAATAATCGTACATTTTTAAGGGCATACATTTTAAGCAGTGGATAGATAACCTTTTAGGTTTGAGGACAATTTTCATTCTTAATTGTTAGAAACATCTTGACCAGCTGGTACTGTAGATTGTGCCCAGTACATATCTTCTGTTGTGCACAGTTTTTATGGCTTATGTGATAATACTAATGAAGATAGTTGAAGGATTTTGTAGAAAAGAAGAATTATACTCATGATATTTGATTGTTCTTATCTATGACTATATTTTTATTTCTTATGATTAAGTTACTTACAACTTGTGTTCATAAGTAACATATCTAATATTTAATTCTCCTTGGCTTGTAAACATGCTTTATAAAACAGTTTTCCTGTAAAAATTAATATTATATTTCAATATCTTTAAATTAAAAAATGCAACTAGTGATACTAAAAAAAATCTGTTTGCAAATTGTTTTAATAATATGAATATCATAAACAGCCTTAAAAGTTTGTTAAAAATTAGATAACGTTATAGCTCCCTAGTTTCTGAAAATTCATTTTCTCAGGACATGTTTCTTTTTTTCTTTTTGACTGCATTGGGTCTTCGTTGCTGCGCGCAGCTTTCTCTAGTTGCGGTGAGCAGGGGCTACTCTTCGTTGCAGTACGCGGGCTTCTCATTGCAGTGGCTTCTCTTGTTGCGGAGCACGGGCTCTAGGTGCACAGGCTTCAGTAGTTGGAGCGTGCAGGCTCAGTAGTTCTGGCATGCAGGCAGCAGAGCACACTGTCTTCAGTAGTTACAGCACACGGGCTCAGTAGTTGTGGCTCACAGGCTCTAGAGCGCAGGCTCAGTAGTTGTGGCGCACGGGCTTAGTTGTTCCGCGGCATGTGAGATCTTCCTGGACCAGGGATTGAACCTGTGTCCCCTGCATTGGCAGGTGGATTCTTTTCTAATTTAATTTTTTTTATACAGCAGGTTTATTAGTTATCTATTTTATGCATACTAGTGTATAATGTCAATCCCAATCTCCCAGTTCATACCCCACCACCCACTGCTTTCCCCGCGAGTGTCCATATGTTCGTTCTCTACATCTGTGTCTCTATTTCTGCCTTGCAAACCAGTTCATCTGTACCATTTTTCTACATTCCACATATATGCGTTAATATGCGATATTTGTTTTTTCTCTTTCTGGCTTACTTCACTCTGTATGACAGCCTCTAGGTCCATCCACGTCTCTGCAAATGACCCCGTTTCATTCCTTTTTATGGCTGAGTAATATTCCATTGTATATAGGTACCACATCTTCTTTATCCATTCGTCTGTCGCTGGGCATTTAGGTTGCTTCCATGACCTGGCTATTGTATATAGTGCTACAGTGAACATTGGGGTGCATGTGTCTTTTTGAATTATGGTTTTCTCTGGGTATATGCCCAGTAGTGGGATTGCTGGGTCATAGGGTAATTCTGTTTTTAGTTTTTTAAGGAACCTCCATGCTGTTGTCCATAGTGGCTGTATCAATGTACATTCCCACTAACAGTGCAAGAGGATTCCCTTTTCTCCACAACCTTTCCAGCATTTGTTGTTTGTAGATTTTCTGATGATGCCCATTCTAACTGGTGTGAGGTGATACCTCATTGTAGTTTTGATTTGCATTTCCTTAATAATTAGTGATGTTGAGCAGCTTTTCATGTGCTTCTTGGCCATCTGTATGTCTTCTTTGGAGAAATGTCTATTTAGGTCTTATGCCCATTTTTCAAATGGGTTTTTTGTCTCTTTAATATTGAGCTGCATGAGCTGTTTGTAGATTTTGGAGATTAATCCTTTGTCCATTAACTCGTTTGCAAATATTTTCTCCCATTCTGAGGGTTGTCTTTTCGTCTTGTTTATGGTTTCCTTTGCTGTGCAAAAGCTTTTAAGTTTCATTAGGTCCCATTTGTTTATTTTTGTTTTTGTTTCCATTACTCTAGGAGGTGGGTCAAAAAAGATCTTGCTGTGATTTATGTCAAAGAGTGTTCTTCCTGTGTTTTCCTCTAAGAGTTTTATAGTGTCTGGTTTTACATTTAGGTATTTAATCCATTTTGAGTTTATTTTTGTCTATGGTGTTAGGGAGTATTCTAATTTCATTCTTTTACATGTAGCTGTCCAGTTTTCCCAGCACCACTTATTGAAGAGACTGTCTTTTCTCCATTTCTCCATTGTATTTCCTTGCCTCCTTTGTTGTAGGTTAGTTGACCATAGGTGCATGGGTTTATCTGTGGGCTTTCTACCCTGTTCCATTGATCTGTATTTCTGTTTTTGTGCCAGTACCATACTGTGTTGATTACTGTAGCTTTGTAGTATAGTGTGAAGTCAGGGAGTATGATTTCTCCAGCTCCGTTTTTTTCTCTCAAGATTG